CAGTTGGTAGTGATTCTATCTTCCCCTTTTAATGTCCTAATTATATTTTAAAATCATTTTATCATGCATTTTATTTTAATGAGTAAGCCCTAGGTCATTCCCTGTGCCCCTGCAGAAGTCTGGTCAGGAGGGCAAAACATTTCCTGGTAAAAGCCGTTTCTAAGATATATAAATAGAAGCTTTTCCAGGGCTGCAGCTTGATGCTATATTGGGAATCATGTAACATTTACAATATACTTCCGTGCAAGACAATCTTGTGCTAAAGCATTGCTAAAAGAGACAGTGCCTTAAGAGTTCACCATATGTGATATTCAATGGAACTCCTTATCTTAATCCTCACTTGTTATTAAAGTAAGTAGCTTACTGGTTTCCTGCTTTGTCCAACTAGCATTGCAGTATTTTGCTCATTAGAAGTAGATAGTAAAAATTCCTCTCAAAATACCATTTACTTGATCTGTAGCTAATATGGTAAAATTTAAATTAAAGTGTTTTTTTTGTTTTTTGTTTTTTGTTGTTTTTTTTTTTTAAGGAAGATGCAATCCTAAACTCTTTTTGAATGGAAGAAATACATTTAATTCAAAAATGGAAAAAAATTAATTCAACTATCTAAAACTATGCCATGCATTGATCTAAAAACTTTCATGAAGAGCTAATAAAAATGTCTAAAATTCTGAATTTAGATACTCATTTTAATATGTTTACTATAAATATTTACTTATTTTTTCCTAAAGAACCTGTATATCTCAGTATCTCATTTTTTTTAACAAATTCTAGATTATACTTGATATTTTAAAATTTTCTAGAAAGAAATCTTATAATTCATGTGGAAAACAGATGTGCATAATTAAAATGTTTGTGAAGCTCTCTAGTTAAAATAGTCTTATAACCTTGGATATTGATGTCACTATGGACATATTTCCCTAACATTCTAAATTTCATCAACATATCTTAAAGTTATAAATAATTCTTAACTTGAAGATAAAGAAAAAGAGCAGCAAAATGATGCAACATATAAACCAAGGATCAATGATGAACATAGGCTTATTGACAAAATTCTTCTCAAATACATCGAAGAGTTGACAAGATACCTCAAGATTTGCTAAACCAGGATCTGAAAGAAGACAAGAAACCAGACATATAGGCTCAGGCACTCGAAGCATAATAAACCTAAGACTACTAGCTATTCCTGTAGGAGAAGGTGAAAGGCTGAGCAGTGCTTGTGGTGGCCTATGGGACTGAGAAAACGCTAGTAAAAATCAAGAACTTGCTAGGAGAGGGAACTTTAATAATTTACCCATTATAAAGGATTATACATATAAAGTCAGCTGGAAGTAAGCAAACCCTCTCTTGAACAACCCATTTTCTATAATCCAAGAAAGTTCAATTCTTGAATCTTATTTCAAGTGTTTCTGGACTGGTAGGACACCTTTGTGACTTGAAAAAGAAAATACTCTATGAAGGATATCATGTGAAAGTTATCAAATTTTTTCCAAATAAATTTTGATAAAATATTATCACAAAGTCAAACAAAATCAGGTACACAAGGACAGGCGATATCATGAGTGAAAACTAACATACACAATAGACAAAGAGACTTGCTTGGCTTGAGGGTTCCCCTGCTTTGCTCTGGCAGAACTAAATCATAGCCCCACCCACCGCTGAGTGCAGTTCCCAGGCCTGCCTGACTAGAAACCTGACCAGAACACCGGGAAGCTGTATAGGCCAGCAATGCTTGAGCACAGAGTCCATCAGGCAGAGCTGATAATCTACAGAGTAAAGCCAGTGGCTTTGTTCAGCCAGGGAACTAGTGGCCTGGGTTGGCTTGAGTCAAGACCACAAACAAGGAGCCTTCCTAGCATTGGAACTTATTCTGCTTTGCCTGGGCAAGGAAACTAATTTGTAGCCCTGCCTATTGCTGAACACAGCATGCAACTTGTCCTACTGAGAAACCTAACCAGAGCATACAGGAAGCTGCAGAGTCTGTCCAATAGTCCTGCTTAGAGTGGCACTTGAATAGAGAGCATAGCTCATGGCTTTTCCCATCTGCAGAGGAAAACTAACATCCCTATCTGGCCAAGGAATTCAGTGCATGGTCTTGTCTGATTCGGGTCCCAAAACAACGAGCCATGCAAGTCCTGGGCTTATCCTGCTGCCCCACTAGGACTGGGAGGCTAATTCAAAGCCCAGTTAATGCTGAGTATACTACATAGTCCTGACTGTCAAGTAAGTCTGACCATGGAACCCAGGCAGCCACAGAGCCCATCCTACAGCCTCTCTTGTGCAGGGAAGATAGCCAGGAGTCCTATACAACTGCTCTCAGCCAGAGGCACTTCCTCCCAACCCCAGTCCCAGAGCTCAAGACAGTGACCTCACCCAAAAATAGACCCTGATAATAAGCCCCACCTGCCCAAGGACATTACTAATAGACATGTCCAGAAACGCAAACTGACCTGACTGGTGAAGAATTGTTTCCACCAAAGCAAACCTGTAAAGTCTTAAAGAGGAGACCACTTACTCAAATGTGTATATACCAATGTAAGAAATCAAGGATCATGAAAAACAGGTAAACATGACACCACAAAAGGAAACTAATAAAGTTGTAAAAACTTTATTACAACTTTATCCTAAAGAAATGGATATCTATAAACTGTTAAACTAAGAATTCAGAATAATCCTCTCAAAGGCATTCAGAGAACTATGAGAACACAGACAAACAATTAAATGAAATTAGGCAAACAATTCTTAAACAAATGAGAAGTTCAACAAAAAATAGATACCATCAAAAGAAAAAGAAACAGCCATTAGAAAAGTGAAAAATACAGTGACTGAATTGAAGAATTCAATAGAGAGCTTCAAAAGATTCTGCTATACAGAAGAAAGAATCAATGACCTAGATGATAGGACATCTGAAATTATACAGTCAGGAGAGAAAAAGAAAAAAAGAATGAAAAAGAATGAAGAAAGCCTATGGAACTTATGAGACACAATAAAAAATAAACAACAAATAAACAAACAAAAATAATATCCAATTCCAGAAGAAAAAAAGAAAGAAAGAAAAGGGGGCAGAAAGTACATTTAAAGCAATAATGCCTGAAAACTTCCTAAACCTGGAGGAAAAAATAGACATCTGGATCCATGAGGGACAAAAGACCCCAAATAAGTTAAATCCAAATAAGGCTGCATTGAGACATGTTATAATTGTTGTCAAAAGTCAAAGCAAAGAAAGAATTTTGAAAGCAGCAAGAGAAAAGAGAGCAGTTACATCCAAGGAAACCCCCATCTTAAGATAAATGAAAATGGAAACGCAGAATACCAAAACTTATGGGATGCAGCAAAAGTCATTCTAAGAAAATTCAAATGCCTACATTAAGAAACAAGAAAGATCTCAAATAAATTAACTCTATATCTTAAAGAACTGGGAAATCAAAACAAACAGCTCAAAGTTAGTAGAAGGAAAGAAAGTTTAGAGCAGAAATAAGTGAAAAAGAGAACAGGAAAACACTAAGACTGAACAGCCAAAGCAATCCTAAGAAAGAAGAACAAGGCTGGAGGCATCACACTTCCTGATTTCAAATTACTTTACAAAATACAGTAATCAAAACAATATGGCATTGGCATAAAAATAGACACAAAGACCAATGGAACAAAATCAAGAGCTTAGAAATAGACTCATGAGTATAGGGTCAACTAGCATTTGTCAAGAGAGCCAAGACTACTTAATGGATATAATACAGTCTCTTCAATAAATGGCATTGAGAAAACTGAATACTTACATGCAAAAAAAATGAAACAGAATCTCTATGTTACACCACTTATTAAAATTAAATCGAAATGGATTAAAGACCTAAATGTAATACCTAAAACAATAAAACTCCTAGAAGAAAGCATAGGAGAAAATTTCCCTGATATTGATTTTGGCAATGATTTTTTTAATATGACACCAAAAGCACAAGCAGCAAATATAAAAAAAGTAAGTAAGTGGGACTATATCAAACTAAAAAGCTTCTGCATAGCAAAAAAACATGATCAACAAAATAAAAGAGCAACCCACAAAATGAGAGAAAATGTTTGCAAACTATTTATCTGATAGGCAGTTAATATCCAAAACATATAAGAAACTTAATAGCAGAAAAACAAGCCAATTTAAAAATGGGCAAAGGATCTGAATAGACTTTTTTCCAAAGAAGATACTCAAGTGGCCAAGTACATGAAAAGGTACTCAACATCACTGATGGTCAGGAAAATGCAAATCAAAACTATAGTGAGATATCAATTCACACCTGTCAGAATGGCTAGTACCAAAAAAGTAAGAGGTAACAGATGCTGATGAGGGTGTGAAGAAAAGGGAACCCTTGTGCACCACTGGTGAGATTGAAAATTGATAGGGCCACTATTGAAAAGCATAGGGAGTTTCCTCAAAAAATTAGAAATAAAATGCCATATGATTCAGCAATTCTACTTCTGGGTATATATTTGAAGGAAATAAAGTCACTATCTTGAAGAGATACCTGCACCCCTATGTTCACTGCCACATTGTTTACAGTAGCTAAGACATGGAAACAGCTTGAATGTTCAAAAGACAAATGGATTAAGAAAAATATACAGTGAAATATTATTCATCCACTAAAAAAAGAAAATCCTGCCATTTATGACACCATGGATGAAGCATGAGAGAATTATGCTAACTGAAATAAGTCAGACAGAGAAGGACAAATGCTGTATGATCTCACTTACATGTGGAATCTTAAACAAACAAACAAACAAAAAAAAAATCTCTTAGAAACAGAGAACAGATTGGTGGTTGTCAGAGGTGGGAGATGGGGGAGAGAAGATGGGTAAAAGATGACCAAAGGGTACAAACTTCTAGTTATAAAATGAATAAACTCTGGGCATGTAATATACAGCATGCTGACCATAGTTTACTGTACTGTATACTTGAAAGTTGCTAAAGGAGTAGATCTTAAGATCTTAAAAGTTCTCACCACACACACACACACACACACACACACACACACACACACGATGATAACTATATGATGGTGGGCTAGGCAACTGATTTTACCCAATCATTGCTTTTCTCAATTTCTTCCTGTCTTCAGCCATCGAGGGCCTTCCTTTGAACAATGTCCAGATGGTCACAGTGGGGTGGATTACAGGTCTACAAAGTACACAAATGGGAAATCCGGTACTTGTACCTTATCACATGTCTCTAAATAAATTAGCTTATAATTCTTATGTACACTGTTGCACTTTCCAGAGAGTTGAATGAATGGTAAAAACAAAATATGTAATTTTAGTTTGTTGATTGAATCAATAAGTACACCTAGATAGAATTCATGCCTTTTACATGTTCAGCTTTTCTCTCCTTGGAGGAAGGTTATACTTCTGATCTTTTTGAAGTTAATGGGCATAAATCTTTCTCTAAAGAGCTACAAAGACTACCAGTGCCTATTGGATAATTTCTCTGCTCAGTGACAAATGGAAAGAAGATACAGGAGAGAGAGAGAGAGAGAGAATTCTTATGTACTTCACATTTATGAAAACATATTCTAGTTCCTTTCTGGCTGGAAATAGAGAATCAGGCCCAGTGGTGTTGAATCTGTAATTTTTTGACACTTTTATTAAATCAATCACACAATAACTATAGTTTACAATATACTTCAAATAGATTTTACAACTCACTGATTTTATAAAATATCCTTATAAATAGTTCTTTTGTTATTATTAAAAGTCTTTGACTATGTTCGACATTGATATACTTACTATATGTGACGATCGGTGCAAGATCCCTGAATGTTGATCTAGCATGGAACATAAACCACATATCATTCATTATGTAAATGAATAAAAATGTGAATTCTCTACTCATTTTCCAAGTTATCAATGGATTAGCAGATGGCAAGAACTGATTTATCCAAAGAGAAGCATTTTTTAAAAATCCAAATTATTAACTCATTTTCTTAGTTAGATCCTTAATTGAAATTTTAAGGCAAAACAATGAAAACATTTTTGGAAATAGTATAAAATAAATATGTAATGTCTTTCATACACATGAATGTAGATGTTTACAAAGTAAGGAAAACCTGCTATGCAATTCTAGGGAGACAAAAAGTAGAATGATATTGGTAAATATGGGAGACACAGAAAGTTCCAATAAAAATTTTGAATAAACCTTTATATTTTAGAGAGCTAATTTCAAAGTCTGATGAACTATTTTAGATCATTAACTTCACTTAGTAAATTACTATTTGCAAAAAAGTAATCATTCATGTATATGAGCATCTAATAACTAAGCATCCATTGCAAATGATACTAATTCTAAGAAAAAAATTCTTACCTTTTATTAATACATTTTTCCAAAAAGAAGGAAATGAAAAGGAAACAATCTCCAGTGTGAATTTTGTTTGTTGCTTTTGTCCTCTCCACTGAATTTATTTTCTTTCTGAATCCAGATATTTAATTTCATCAAACCAGATCAGTTTCATCCATATACTAGATTTTGAATTCAAATAATACTGGATTTCATGGAACCAATGACTATAAATGGGCACAATAAAGCACCAGAACTTCTCAGAGAAACATAAAGTAACAAAATATAAATCACAAATATAATTATTTTGCCTTTACACATTGAATCATTTTATAAATATGGATTTTTATTCCAAATATTCTGATTAAAATTTATTATATTTGTAATTTTGTTGAAAATACTTACTGGGCCAAGTTCTCTTTGGTGCCAAGGTCACTCCCTAATAGTAAACATAACAGTTCCGAAAAGTGGAGTTCCAGTAGTTTAAGAGAGTTAACGCTCTTCTTGAAGAATTAACTTAAATCCAAAGAAAGCACAAATTCATAAATGTAGAGATTTTCATTAAATGTAAATTAAGAAGAGCACTTTGGAGGCTTGGTACAGAGAAAACCAGGTTAACAAATATCCTTTCAGTTAGAAAGAATAATAAGCATTTTAAAACCACTAAAGGTCACTTAAATAAAAATATATTAAGTCTATTTGACCATAGATTTTGGAATGTTTTTTAAAATTGGGTATTTTAAAAAACCCAATATGTAAACTTTTTAATGCATATATATTTTTTCCTCGGACTCTTAAAGCAAGCTGAATTTCCCCCCTAGATCTCGTGTATCTATGCAAATGCATATATATTTTTTCCCTCGGACTCTTAAAGCAAGCTGAATTTCCCCCCTAGATCTCGTGTATCTATGCATATACAAAATGCCTTCCAGCTGAATCTCAGTTATTCACAATCTCATGTGTGGTTTGCATGATATTAATGAAGTTAATTACTCAACCTGTGGTCAGGATGCCAACCCACCTCCTGTCCTCAGGGACCTTATTTTCTTTCTTGCAAACTCTCCATTATCTTCAACATCTGTATTCACCCAGCCAGGTTAGCATTCCTAACTGTTCCTTCTCTGGGGGAACAGGAGGTATATAGAAACAGCAGCGGCTACGTTCCCAATGCACAGGCAATTTCTCCAGGATCTACTTCCTAAGATCTACTTTAATGCCTTTTATGACGGCTTTATTTACTCTGTTTTTATCCTATTGCCTTGAATCAGTAGTCCCCCTTTAGATTCATTAAAGTCGAAATTCTGCCTGCCTTTGATTTTCTCTTCCCCACTCAGAGGACTTTTTCCTGCGTTCTGCAGCCCAAAGGCCGGCCCTGCCCATCCCTCACCCAACTGGCGCTCCCGGATTCTTGCACCCGCGGCATGGCCCGGTCCTATTTGGCCTCTGGTTATCCACATACGGTGTTAGCCAAAACTGAATATTTTCTTACAGCTTTTAAACATATTCAGGTCTGCCCTATCCAAAAAAGAAATCTTCCATTACTTATCCCAAATCCTTTGGTAGTCTCAAATCCTTTCTTTCTTTCTCCTATTGATCAAACTCCTTGAAAGTGTAACCTCCCCTCAGTTTCTGCTTCTCTACCTCACAACCCCCACAATCCTGGCTTCTATTCCCAGCAGCACATTGAATTTGTTCCTACTAAGAATGCCATTGGCCTAATCACTAGTTCCAACAGATACTCTTCTGAATTTATTTTAAACTTTTTGTGGCCTGAGCACCTGAAGATGTTACTTCTTTCTTGGAATTCTCTCCTGTAAGATGTGTGGCACTTCTTTCTTGTGACTCCTTGGTGGTGGGGAGTGGACGAAATGGTCTCCAGCAATATAAATCTTCATATGAATTGTAACATCTAGCTTCTCAGGAGTACTACATGTTGAGTACAAAGCAGCACAAAACTGCATGTGCATGCTGCATTGGTGTTCAATATCCCCTTGCTCAATTTTACTGGAGAGGTAAAGGCTGAGGGGCCAAGAATTATCCTAAGTTGGTTATATACCTTGAAGGCAAAGAAAATGGTCTGAAGCTTAAGCCATATATATAGCCCTTACCAGACAAGTTGCATCAAAACTTCTCCACCTGGGAGATCACCTATCCAGTGCAGGATTTTCCTGCCAGCTAAGGCACATATGATCCTTAAACTTTCCTGATGGAAAACGAGGGGAAAAAAATGGAGCAACAAGTAAAAAGTAGGACAGACTAAATTTTTGTTTCCAGGGAGTTTTCAGAATAGTTGCCAAGACAGGGCTAAAAGTTGGCTGTGTAAAGAGGCGGTTGTAATAATACAATGTCTCCCAATCCCACTCCAGGACAATATAATGGAAGAGTATGTACAGGCCTGCTTTACCTTCCCACTGAAGTCTCTTTCAGTGCAACAAATATTCACTGAGTGTCCATTATGTGCCAGGCATTCCATTGGGCAATGAGGACACAAGGATAAGGAAGGCACCAGTTCTATCCTCAAGGAGCAGCAATCTAGTGAACAGCCACTTTCATCAGGTAGGCATCAAAGAACCACAATTAAAGATCAAGAATCTTTCACTTATCAAGTGGACTCCCTCCTCCTCTGCTGTATGCACCGACCCTTGTAGGTGGAATCCCAAATTCCACTCCTTAGCCCCCTTATCATCTTATTTATACCTATACTTTTGGGCTTCCATAATAACACCCTGAATGAAGACTTCATTACCATTTTCAGTTTGTCGAAGGAATTTCATTTCTAGTGAATTTATTATAGGGGCTATCAGTGTACCCCCTGCATTACGCTTTAAGATATGCTGCTTCTGCTGGATGATGCATTGGCAGGGTCTTTTGGTTCATCCCATGTTATCCACATCTCTGTTCCCTTTGCAAGTATTCCTGCTATGTTGGGATTTTAGTTGTTAAGAGGACAACCAAATTGAATCAAAACAATTATGCAATAATGTGCATGCCAAGGTTTCCTGGCACCACTTACCAGAAATTCTACAGTGTTAAAGTGTATTGCCCAAATATTTTATTTACATTCAACCTGTCCTAAGGTATTGCTAAGAATAGGAATAAATATATAGCCTGTTTGTTCAGAGATTTAAACCACATAGCCAAATTTGGTTAATGTTGTATCTCCCTCATGAATAGAGAATATGGAATTGAAAAATGACTAGCATGGAGGACAGAATGACTCAGAAATCTAAGAATAGCCAAATCATGTGAAAAGACCCAAAGGCTGCTTCAAAATGAACTACATCTGCCTGACTCACAAAACTGGCAAATTATATTATTTAGATCAATGCAAAATAGCATTTCACCAGCATTGTATCTGTATATCTAATTTCGCTTTGGGTCGGTGTGGATTTGCCTTCTTACTGTGAAATAATTCATACTCTCAAAACTGTACTTTTAGCTCAAAAAATAACTTAACCTAGTTTGTTTTGTTTTCTTTCTATCATATTATAAACTAATAACTTGGGCTGTTTGCAATTATTTTAAGAATAGATTTGAAAATATGCTTTGGATGAACCACATGCTCTTCGAAGGTCTAGGTGACACTAACCACCCAAGCACTGAGAAAGGAAGACATTATGACAGCCTCAGACACTATGGGAGGTCCAGTATCATCCTAAGTAAGCTCCTCATCTAGAATTTTAGGAATAATCAAACCCTGTAAATAAAGTGTTTCTTCTGCTTTCATACTATAAGCCATTTTGTTGGAATCTAATTGCAAACAGAATTAAGAATACTCTGAGAGGGCGTGCTCTTTACTATTCTCACTACCACATTCTTCACTGATAAAACATCAAGGGAAAAAACTCAGGACAAAGTCGCCGGTGCTGAATATCATCCTACATTAGCCACCTTTGCCCGCCTCCCTTATCACCATCACACTGTGCCCTCTGAAATTCCCATACTTTGGTCAGCAAAGAAACCTATATCCTAAATGTCTTCCATGCAAGTCTTGGCAACTCCTTGCCTTAATTAAAATCTGGATCTCATCATGGGCTCAGCCTTCCCTGCAGCCCTTCCAAGGGGAAGTTACTTCCTCACAAGTGGTATAGGTAGCTTCACCATTCACCACTGACACTTCCTCATCACTACTTTATGTATGTATAACTCCTGCTTCTTTTGGTTTCATGCCACCTGGAGAAAGCTCTTGATCTCCTCTATTCCTGCTATAATGACTTGGGAGTCATCCCAAGTCTTCTTCCTCTTATTACGTGCCACCATTTAGTGGATTAAAATGCTCTCTCCTTCCATTAAAATGTATCTTAATCCATGTGGTTCTCCAGATTTTCACTTCTATCAGCCTAGTCTCTAACCTCATCTCTTTTCTAGGTTTTTCTATAAGCCTTTTAACTGAGCTGCCTATTCAGAAAAGGCTACATGGGCATGAGATCTGTGCGTGCATAGGACCTTATGCTGAGAAGAGACCTGTGTTTTGCTTAAAGCTCTGCTGTTGATGTCTTAAAATTTTAAGTAATTTTTGCTCAAGGGGCCTTTCATTTTCATTTTGCCCTGGGCCTCACAAATTATGTAGCCTGTCCTGTTCTTATTTGTAGTCTTGCCCCTTCTAACAAACTCTACACTAAACAAGTCAGGGTATTATTTTTACTGTGTAAACTGTGACACTTCCCTGTTTAAAATACACTGGTGGCTTTCGACTGCATTTAGAATAAAATCCTCACTCATATTGTGGTCTACAAAAACCCACCTGGTTGGGACTTAGGCCTTTCTTTCCCACTTCATCACCCTCACTCACTGTTTCAGGCACACTGGTATGCTTCAGTTTCTCATATGCAGAGGTTTGTTTCCTGCCTCAGA